GGTGGTCACTTCTGTTCCTTTCCAGTCAGCCTAGCTGGAGCACCAAGCCTCTGTCCATGGTGGGACTCCAAGCCTTTCATGTTAGTATAGTCTTCCTGTCTGTGGGTGCAGGCTGTGCAGGGCAGTAATGGAGGTGGCTCTAATGCAAGTCTCCTGCCTCTCCTTCCCAAGTAGGAGATTCCATGATGGCAAACCCCTGGTGTCCACTGTGAAGTAAGGAGGCGCTGGAGATGTACGTGGCTCCACTTGCACTTGCTCTGTCAGTCCAGTCACTCCTGTGGTACAGTTGCTTGGTTGTGCTGAGCTGGACAATGTCTTATGCACCTAGGTCCAGGCCTGAGGCCCTTCTAAGAGAACAAGAGAACATTAACCAGAATAGGCATGATGAGGTCAAACTGGAAGGGGTTAGGAGTGCAAGAGCTATTCTAGGGAAACTCAGCCAGCCAGAGACTTAGACAAGGGTACAGGAGAGGCTACACCAAGCTGCAGTCTGGGAGTGAGTTTAGCAGGGCTGTTCTGGCCTTCCTCCCCCTGCCCAGGGGTATGATCTGGTCTCTCCTGGACATGGTGGTGCCCACCTTAAGCTTGGAGTGTGATGAGCAGGGAACAAATCTGGGGGTCTTGTCATATGTCCTCAGGCTGAACCTTTGAGCCAGGCCTGTGGACACTGCCCAGGGCTGACTGGAGAGATCCATCATGTTGCTTGTAGGCTAGAAGAGTAGCTTGCATCTCTTCAAGGACTCAGATGCCAGACAGAATCTACTGTAGAGGAACCACCAGCAAAATACAGTGGGGCTTTTTCAGGTGCAGTCTCCCTCACTCTCTTCCTTAAACACATGAGCTTACTCCACCTAAAGGGCCTTTGCACAGCTGCACCTTCTGCCAATACCTTTTATTTTATCCTCTGAAGGCCAGCATCTCTATCATTCAAACCTCAGCTTATGCATCATACCTCAGAAAGCCTTCGGTGGACAGCCATTCTGAAGGTGCCACCTGTCACTCTCTGGCAGACCCCTTTGCTTTAAATCTATATAGACTAGCCTGCACACAGTATTGAACCCTACAAGTGCAGTGTTTTTTCCCATACATACATACATACACATACATACATACATACATACATACATACATACATACGTACATACAAACAATACAGCATGGATATGCAGGATCAAAGGGTGAGTCACAGCCAGGACAGGACAGAGTGCAAAAACATACTACTGTGGCAATGTGAAACTTACAGATCGTTTGTTTCTGCAATTTCCTATTTAATATTTTGGGGCTGTGGTTGACTGTGGGCACTGAAATCATGGAAAGCCAAGCAGTCCCTGGGGGTGGTATCATGTGATAGGCACCACTGCTGAAGGCTTTTTTGTGTTCTTGTCAGTTTGGGCGTAAATCCTGTAGATACAACAACCTTATCCCTCTCTTTCTCTGGTGTGAGTCCTTGCCTGGGCAGGGCCGGGCACATAGTTGATGCACAGTAACTGCACAAAGAATGTAAGGAGTCACCCCTTAGCACAGCATTGGTATTAGCTATGAAACCGGATCTGAACGCCAATACTGGACTACTTTGTGGTCCAAAGCCCATCAGTCTTTTGATGCCACCACCACCACCGCCACCATTACTACTACCACAACTTCCACCACCATCACCGCCACTATCATCATCACCATCACCACCACCACTATCACCATCACTACCACTACCACCATTATCCACCACCCCATTACAACTAACATCACCATCATCACAATCACCATCACCACACCACTACCATCATTACCAGCATTGCTGTCATCTGATATATCTGCTAGAATGTCCTGAATAGGCTGCTATGTTCACGACCCAATGACTGAGGATGGCTTAGGTCTTCCTGCTCTGGAAATCACACCTGCTTTACTGGGCAGATAGCTAAGCCTGGGAGAGATGGGAACAGTGACATCCCTCTACATGACAGTCCCTGGAGGTAAAGGCATAGGGAAGGCTATGGCTTTCTCTGGGAGAATGAGCCCCATGTGCAACACTTTTGGCTCTGCAGATGTGATGCTTGTTGCCATGGTGACTGTCCTAACAATAACCTCCCAGAACTGATATTCCCCACAACCACCCCAGCTGCCACCTGGGAGGGAGAACCCTCTTTGCTTACGAAATCGAGCCAGAAAGGACAAGGTGGGAGGCAGAGATGACACAGAGGGCGGGAGGAGTGGGGGAGTGTAAGGGTGGAAGGCAGGGGAAGAGGTTAGACGAGGGAGGAGTCTGGGCCTCTGATAGGCGCTGAAGCCAGATGAGAAGGCTTCGAGGGTCCAAGAGCAGAAAGGTCATAGCTGGAATCCTGTCTCCCTCTCATCCATTTCATTCTGTTAGGAAGGAGTTTCTGGGTCTGGAGGTGGAATGTGGGCTGTGCTGTGTGGGCAAGGGTAGGCTGTATGCCTCTGGCAGCCTGCTTCTTCCCCACTGTCTAATGCTGGACCTTCCTGCCCCAAGAGGGAGCTTCAAGTGATGCCTCTAATGCTTCAGCCCTGAGGAAGGGCTGCTGGAGCCTTAGGGAGCTCATAGGAATAGAACAGAGGTGATAAGAGGACACACTTAAATTGCACACACTCCTTAGGGACTCCTTAGGGACTCCAACTTTTTCTCTAACACTGGTCTTGGACAGCCTCCCGGCCTTTGGAAGCTGACCTTCAAAAGACCACCCAGAGTGTTGCTACGACCTTGCCTGGTGTGTACATCTGTTTGTGTATATATGTGTATTAGGTTTCTGTGCTCATTTGTGTGTATGCATGTTTGTGCATATGTCTGTACATGTATTTGTGTGTATGTCTTAGTATGTGCATGTGTAAAAATAAAAAGCAAGGAAGGCTTTATGGGAAATTCCAGTCACTTCTCTTTTTTGATATATTTATTTTTATTCTGTAAATGTGTATATGTCTGTATGTGTCCATATGTACATGTGTGTGGAGGCCAGAGATGTCTTCCTCAATCCCTTTCCACCTTATTTTTTGAGATAGGACCTCTCACTGAACCTGGAGCTTGAAGATTCGGCCAGATTGGCATCTATCTCCACCTCCCTAGTGCTGGGATTGCAAGCCTATGCTTTTCCACATACGTTCTGGGGATCAAACAAGGTCCTCATGCTTATGGGCCATATCTCCAGCTTTTCCTGTCACATCTTGGCTGTACAACAATGGGCACGTCACCTCCCCTTTCTCTTTTGTCCCATCTAGTAAAATGGGAATAATGGCACATCTCCTAAGCTTGAGAATGAAATAATGCAATATGGGGAGCAGGCGTGCAAGTGCAATCAAGATCAGCTACCATGAGCATTCAAACACCACCTTGTCTTCTGGATACACATGTGGGAGTATGTGTGACTTGGTAGTTTGAAGAGAGCCTACGTTACAGAGGGGTACAATTTTGTTTTGTTTTGCTAATTGTACTCTACTGTGCAGCCTTGCCTCCTTCTCCTTCCTGAGCCCAGAGAGGGCAGATGCAGCTGCTCTCAGCAGGTGCTGGGGGAGGCAACAGCACTCCCAAGAGCAAACTTCAGCCTGGCCTTCACCCTCACCCCACCCCATCCCATGCTGTGGCATGGCCCAGGGTTTTCCGTGTTTAAGCCCATACTCTGGCACAATGAGGTTTCTGCTTGGGCTGTGCTGATGTCAAGGCCAGGATTCCTCTGCTTTTTTAGCTAGAAACTTCTGCCTGGGCCACTTGCCTATGTACTACCCGTCCCTTGTCCTCTATCTGGCTGTCTTCTGGGTTGAAGCTGGGTCTGCACACCCAGGTCAAGGCTTTGCCAGGAGGCCTGTTTTTCACCATGTCAAATTCATCTTTTGGGAAGGCCTTTGGCTGCCCAGTGGTTCTAAAAACCCTCATTTACTTCTTTATCTAAGAGACACTTGCTGGGGTGTCCAGGGCTAGCCTTTGGTTGAGATCTGAGCCAGACAGGCCCAGAATCTGCTCTTGGGGGATAGGAAGTGGAAAGGAGGGCAGCAGCCCCCTAATGCCATCTAGAGCTGGCTGAAACTTCTCCCAGTTGCCCAGCAGGAAACCCAGCTCCAATCTTCCAAGGAGTGCTGGGTGTTGGCCAAGAGGAGTTTTGAAGGAACCAGCCTGTGCCCTCGTCCCTGATGGGCACACTTTCAAGAGGGGACTGGAAAGGGAGGGAGAAGTGGTGAATCTTTTTCCTGGCCAGAGCAGAGGCAAACAGGTGGACCAGGTTATCTGGACAGAATGACTATAAGGGATCATGACAGGAGTCCCTGACAGAGCAGAGGAGCACATTTTGCTGGCACGAGGTCCCACCTAGACTCCAAACGTCCATTTTCAGGACCCTAGTCACTAATCCCAGAAGTGGGGAAGTGGTTTGGGATCACCAGAAGCCGGCAGCCCCTTCCTCTTCCTCTCATTCAGTATACATACTGAGCTTGGAAGACTCATGGGCAGTTCTGCCTGGCGTCTGGCAGCTTTTTTCTTGGGGATGATGGGGAACCGAGCCCTGTGCAGGGCGACACAGGACCCCTTCCCCTGTCTAGGGGAGGTCCCTCCCCCTGACTAGGGGAGGTGGGCCTTCAGGACAGAGAGGAGGCTGGGTTCAAGTCCCCCGTGTGTATGCTGGAGGGTCGCCTGCGGCAGTGGAAGAACCGGCGCAATGGCCTGTTTGTATAGGGCTGGCCCACAGGGCCAGGCGCAGCGCGTGGGCACCGCGCGGGTGTAGCCCATGTGCGGGGATAGGGCGCGAGCACCGGCGTGAGCGCATGGTGCGGGTGCAGTGCGGGTGCAGGCGCGGGCGCAGGCGCGGGCGCCGACGTGCGTGCGAGAGGATCCACGGTGCGGGTGCGGGGTGCGGGCGCAGTGCGCGTGCAGGCGCGGGCGCGGTGCGTGTGCGATTGCAGGAACGGCGTGTGTAGGGTGCGGGTGAGGCGCGTGCAAGGGGCAGCGGGCGGGGCGGGCGCGGCGGCGACAGCAGAGCCCGCGCCTCTGCGCGCGTAGGTGTGCGGCGCGCTCCTGGCGGGGACAGAGCGAGCAGATCTCGCGTGCGCTCGCCGCCCGGCGCAGCCCAGCACGGCCCCCGCCCGGCGCCGCGAGCCGAGGTGTCTCCCGCGCCCGCGCCCGTGTCCCCGCCGTGCCCGCGAGCGGTAGCCGGAGTCGCCGCCGCCCGAGTGCAGCCGAGCGCACGCCGAGTCCGATCGCCGCCGCCATGGCCACCACGGTGACCTGCACCCGATTCACCGACGAGTATCAGCTCTACGAGGATATTGGCAAGTAAGAGCCTGGGCGCGTGCGAGCTGTCCGGGACCCCGGGGAGCGGGGACCCTTCAGCGCCTCTCGCTCCGCGCGCACTGCGGCCCCGCGCGCCCCCGGCTCTTCGGGCTCCCCGCGGGGCCCGGGACTCGGGGCTCTGGACTCGGCGTGGCGGGGGCGGCAGCAGGTGTCCCGAGCGCCGGGCAGACGTGACGCATTTGGCGGCGGGGAGGTCAGAGAGGAGCGGCACGCGGGGGCGGCTGTGGCGCCCAGGGCGTCCCGAGGGGTCTGCCGTTACCCCAGGGGGTCGTCCCCGGTTTGAGCGCGCGGTCCCCACCCCCTACCCGAGTGGCAGCGCTGGCGGACCCGCTCGGCGACTGCTCCTCGTGTGGCCCCATCTGCGCTGGGGCGGGGGGGTTGCCAGCGTGAGAGCCGCTGCTGCCTTGGGTCCCTTGGAGAATCTGGGTTCTGGAGGATCCCCCCCCCCCTATTTTTCTGGAAGCAAGAATTTGGAGGGGATGGATGAGGTCAGGGAACCAGGATCAGGCCATGGAGTGGGGGGTGAGGGAGTGAGCCGAGGAAGCGGTTGGGCCTCTGATTGATTTCAGGGTCATCGAGGCAGAGGGAGGCTGGATTCTGGAGCGTTTTTTCCTCTATGGTGGGAGGGCTGGGGGAGGGGCTTGGAAGGCGTATTTCAGGTAGGGCCTCCTGGGGAACAGGTGCCCTGGCTGAGACACTGCTCCGCAGCATGAGCGATGTGGGGTGAAGCCATGATTTGGAGCGTCCGGACCTGGCTTTGTCCGCGGGGTGGGAGACCTCAAAGCCCGTTGGGGGCCTCGTCTCGGGCCTGGCGGTCTTCTGTGATTTAAGGTGGCTGTAGGGGCATCCTTTGGGGCTGCAGAACTCCAGAGCCAGGTCCTCCTCCCCACTCCCTCTCCCCTCCCCCGTCTCTCCTGCGCCGTGGGGGCGCTGGCGAGATTTCCTCTTACACATCCAGCAGCAAATCCTTTTTTTCCTTTACTAAAAAAGCGTCTGAAAGCTTGTGGTGGGCGAGGGACGCTGATCATTGATAATTGTGGAGTGCCCAGCTGGAGGAGTGTGGGGGTGTGTGCATTCCCCACTTCTTCCTGCACGTGCCAAGAGGATTTGGGTCAGGCCTGGGGGGGGGGGGAGGTGAGGAGCCAAGCGGAGTGGCAGGAGGAAGCCTATGCAGGATGGCAGGGGGTGAGGCTGGGTGGACCTGGACAGCTATCCCAGCCTAGAGGGCCCAGCACCGTTTCACTCCGGCTGTGTGCGCCTCTCAGTGGACCTCACGTTGCAGGCATAAAAGCTTCCAGGAGCTGGTGGGGGCTGGGGACCTGTAAGGAAGAAGGGGTGGGCTGGGAGTCCTCGGCTGGGGGTGAGGCAGCCTCCCCAGGTAGACCGGATGTCCAGGGTTAGGGGAAGCTAGCTCTCCATCTCAGACTCAGATGCTTTGATGCGTGCTCATCGGAGCCAGTTGCCCATCTCCTCCTGGGCTATATTCTGTGCTGCTGGGGCAGGTGGCAGCTGTCGATGTGTCTGATTCTCTGAGGAAGACAGCAGCAATGGGAAGTCTCTCCTTCCCAGGAGCCTTCTTGTCGCCTTTTCGGTGTGCCCAGGAGCCTGCACTCCTGCCCTGGGCCTCCAGATGTTTTCCAAGAAGTCCCTCTCAAGATAAAACTTGCTGTTCTAGGGGGCTCTTTGCCTCTCAACTTTGGTGTGAACCGTCCCTGCCATGAGCAGCAGCATTAGGCAGCCGCCAGCAGCGACTGATTATTGGATCACTGCCACCCCCACTGGGGAGTGGGGGCTGAGGGGTGACATTTGCAATAGAGACAGGTGAGGACTGGAACTGCCAGCTCCTCCCTAGGTAGGCAAGAGAGTGAGCGCTCACAAGAGGGAGGCTACAGGCAAGGGTGAGAAGGGAAGCCTGATGTGGAGGAGCCATTGTGACCTGGCACAGGAGAGGAGGCACCCTAGGCAGGAGCAGTATGCTCAGCCTAGCATACCTTTGTGGAGACGACTAGGCGCCAGCCTGGGGGTGGGGGTGGGGGGCAAGGGGAGCTATGAAGGGGAGGGCACCCTAAGGCTAAGTTGTGGGAACAGCCTACCCCTCCTCCCCCCTCAGTGGCCATGTTGGCTAGTTGTTGACAGCGCCTGCCTGGGGCACAGTTGGTGTTGCTTCCCAGGCCCAGGTAGACGGGTCCAAGTTTATTTAAAGCCATAGCCCCTGGCATGCAGTCAGGAGATGCTGAGTCCCCTGCTTGGTGGAAGGGCTGGTCACAGGCCCACAGCTGCTTTTGTGTGTCTGTGTGGCAGCTCTGGCCTTTCCCCTCCCTTCTTGGCTATGTTTGGTCTGGATCTCCCCTTCTTCCCCAGGCCTGGGGCAGGGGTCAGGTGGGCTGACAGAAGGGGTGGCTCTCTGGTGCCTGGCCTCTGCAGCGCCTCAGTGTGTGCCCTTCTGGCGGTTCATAGGCTGGGATACAGTGCCCCCCAGGATCCCAGAAGCAAGCACAGGGCAAAGTAGGAGGACACTCAGTCCACATGATCAGCCTTAGGATGGTTTGAATTATTTTCTTATTGGATATAGTTTAAAACTTCAGAAAGCCCAAGAATAATAAACTGAACACTGATTGGAAAATTTTTCATCATTTTGGTTTTAAGTTCTATCTTAAAATGATAAGAAATAATGTGTTGCAAGTAAATATTAAATAATCCATTTTCCTCTGACTTGGGTCAGGCATTGTATCCTTCACTACACTCACACACAGATACAAGTATCCACACTAATTGTGATTCTTCCTGTTTGTCCCTGGTTTTGGCCCCATTCCATCTAATTGTGTTGGGGGTGACTTGAGCCTGGTGCACCAACACTGGCCTCAACAGGTAGGGAGTGCTAACAGGTAGAAAGTGGTTCCACCTTCTGGATTAACGCCTATGAATTTTCTACTTTCAGAGTGGTTGTCTCATTAAAATATAGATGATTTCTCTAGAGACAAACAGCCTCCATACATTTTTGGACATAATTGTAGGAGTCATGGACCCCCTCCTATTTAGGGGGAGAGGGCACAGGGCTCACAACCCATAGTTTAGTTACTATTTGATGTTTTGTTTTGTTTGTTCTTTGAGACAGGGTCTCACTATGTAGTCCTGACTGGCCTAGAACTTATTATGTAGATCAGTCAGGCTGGCTTCCAACTCATACAGACCCACCTGCCTCTGCCCTGAGTGCTGGGATTAAAGGTGTGTACTACCACATCCAACCCTACTTATACCAGTACCTAAGCCTGAGCAGTGAAGATTCAATGACCTTCATCCCAGAAACTTCCACCATTCCTCCCCCACACCCCAATAGGCCCAGAATTGACCTTAATGTGTCCTTGACTCCATCTGGTGGTCCCCAGTCAGCAGAGGGCAGGCTGGGATGCATGTGACCTGGCCACTCACTGGGATCTTCCATGTCAGCTGTTGGTACTTTCTTCTGACAAGCCTGCTCTCAACCCATGGATGACCTGCTAGGTAGATAATAAACTTAGGAAATTCAGAGCAGATCAGTTTTGAAATCTCCTGTGTGATGCCATTTGCCAGGGAAGAGAGGGACTGGCTCCAGGAAGAATGTTGTATTTGCTGTTGTGTTTGCTTTCTCCCTCCTTCCCCTGGAGAATGCCAGACCCTGTCTGCCTCAGGGCCTTTGCTAGGACTGCCCTCTATCTCCTGGCCCCCCTCTCCTCCCTCTCCTCTCCTCTGACACCTCTGTGCTTTGGGGCCCAGACACTTACATACCTTAAAGCCTGACCTGAAACCCCTGCCTGGGGCTGAGTCACAGGGCCTGGGGGTTGTGCCCCCCTCATCCAAGGGGAAGGGTGAGTAGACCTCTGGCCTTTGCCTGCTTGCCTGGTCTGGGGAAGCCAGAATGAGTCCCGGTCTTGATTCTCTAATATAGGGTAATTTAAAAAGAAAACACACATGCTGGGGTTGTTGGCAAGATGCACATTAAGGTGACGCTAGTTTAGTTACTATTTAATGGTATTTTTATACCATAACCTACTTTGCTGAGAGCTAAGAATACATCTGCATGCTCGCTGCCGGACTCTGTTCTGGTGACAGTTGCCTGCGCTTCAGTGGTGTTCCTGTTAACACACTGGGTCTGTGGAATGAGCACTGTGATTATTTCCAGTTTACAGGAGAGATGACCAAGGGGCACAGAGAAGCCCCATCTCCTGGTGAAGGTCACACGGGGTCAGGGTTCCAGTCACCGAGTTTGCTCTGGACTCCAGTTCTGCCTCTTGGAGCCAATGAACCTCCTCTCCTCTCTGCTCCTGAAGTCCATCATTCTGCTGGCGGACTCTTGGCCAGTTTGTGGTCTCCTCTGACCCCAGACTCCTCGGGACCACACCTGTCCTCAGCCAATGGACTTCCTACACTGTCTTTGTGTGTTTCCAAACCCAGGGCACTGCCAACATCTCCTCTGTGAAAACGTCACTTCTTTTTATCACCTCTCCATGACAACCAACACTCTGACCCCATTTGAGATCAGCAAGACTTAAAATTTTTATTTTATTCGTTAAAGAAATTACTAGTGCAATATAGCCTTGTTATAAAAAAAAGTCAAACAATACAGAAGCATACGCAGTAAAATGTGACCTTTTACTTCCAAGCTCCCTCAGTCCCAGAGGAGCCAGGACTGTAGGTGTAAGGATATGTATCTATGTACAGCTATTACACGTACATATCATGTATGTGCTTTTAAAACATAGATGGACTCACTGTGCTTGTGAGCCTGCCGTTTCTTTGCCCTGACACTTCTCCATGACAACTCCTATGTCAGAAAGTCTGTTGGGACCAATCCAGCCATTCATTCGTCCTCCCTCCCTGCCTTCCTCCCTCCTTTCTTTTGTTCTGTACATGTTCATGTGGGTTGTACATGCACGTGTGTGCATGAGCACATGAAGGCCAGAAGTTGATATCAGGCATATTCCTCAATACCTTATCTTCTGAGA